ATATATTATCGAAAGTTTCATTTATTAATTTTATTATATAAATTTCAATTTATATCTACATTGACCGATATTTTCGGTCAAAAGTCAACTATAGGATTGGGGTCCACATATTCAGTACCTAGGGCTTGAACAGTTTTGGTTCGAGTTAGACAATTTGGTCACAATGTGGACACTTTTACGTATATTCACGCAAAGTTTACACCAAAACATCATTGTTGCTTATTTGCATAGTGGTGAGTGAAGAATCAGGTGGAATTTAAAATGGTGTTATATGGGAAATAGGCGTGGTTGTAATCCGATTTTGACTATTTTCGCCATATAACATAGAAATATGAGAAGAATGTTATGTACCGAATTTGGTTGAAATCGGTTAGGCAAAACCCAGATATAGGTTTCACCTAAAAGTAAACGGTGCCACGCCACTGTCCAATTTTGAACGCGGTGAATATAAAGTCATCTCATACCATCAAAGAGATAAAATTAATGTCTCTGGCGTGTTTAGTGCTTGATTTACCGCTAGGTTAGGTTAGGGAGTCGATCCCAAGAAGACCCACTTGGACAGCTTAAGACGCCGGTCCGTTGTATACCTACAAACTCCTATAATTGGATCGAAAGACCCTTTCAAGTCGACGAAACGTTTTGTGCTTACAACAAACTTGTTAAGACGGCCAATATCCATTCGGCTAAGTATTCAGGTATTCAGGTCAATCTCAGCTTAGCGAAAGCCGTATATTGGAGAGAAAGTGCCGGAATGCTCCCTCGCCCTCCTCTATACAACTTTGGCAACTAGCATCGGTAGTACTCTAAGCCGTACCGCATGAGTGCCCATTGGACGTGTCCAGTGAGAACTCCTACCATAGCGGCGAGACGCACTTTGCTCAGGCGAGAAGTTCCCGACCTCCTGCGCTCCCACTCTTGGCCAGAAGGATCTCGCGGTCGCACAGGAATGGTCGTCGACCAGCGTCTGCTGAGTGCACGCGAGGTCCATTGATCCAAAGCTAGACGCAAGACGTTAACGGAGATCCAACTCGATCCCATTCCTATGTGACGGGGAAAGGTGCCCCTGGCTAGCTCATCGGCTTTGCAGTTCCAGCGATTCCGCTGTGACGAGGCACCCAAACGAGCCTGATGTTGAAATAGCCAGATGCTAACTCTAGTGAGGACAGACAGTCCTGACTAGCTTTATTGCACGGGTCGCGCGCTCAAAGCTAGTATTGCCGCCCTACATCGGATGGATGCTCCCTTCTACAAACGGACGCACTACCCAGCAATACTTCAACCGCCACCTTGATAGCAGCCACTCCGCCCGAAACACTACAGTGGTCCGATAGCCTGAAGCTAAACTGACGGAGAGCTCCTGCGAGAGGAAGGGCTGTACAGCCCTCCTGCAGCTCCCCAGTGGCACTTCTTCAGCAAAGTATTAGTGGAAAATGAGCATCCAGGAGTAGTTTCAACGACTCTCGCTGCACGTTGTCCAACTACTATCTGCATTTTTAGATACCCCACTGAGTAGGATTTTTGCAGAATGCGCCTGAAACGTGAGGACTCATAGCAGCCTCTACACTACCGCAGAAGGCTCTCCGCGAAGCCCTCTTGCTTTCTTCAACTCGGACTTGTAAATGGGCAGTCCGGCCTTGTACAATGCCCAGTCATCACTAGAGCCACTTTACGGGCTTTGTTGAAAGTCTTCTGCTCGAGATCTGATCTCCGTTTAGCTCAAAGTCCACAAGGGTTTCCTTTGATTTTCTCACGAGACAGGAGGTCAAGAGTAGTTCTACTAACAGAGCTGAAAAATCGACGAGCTTCATCGACCGCATCCGCAGATAGGATCGAATCCCTGTCGGGTGCGGTTGGAAAGGCTGATCAAGCTTCCTGCAGTACAGGACCCAGTGTATTCCTGAAATTTTAGAGGTTTTGAGCTCCGGGAAATGAAAGGAGCAATTCCCTAGAGACTAGCGTAACGTTAAGGACTTCCGCCCTGCTAGCAGTCACAAGGTAGGGCTGTTCCCCTTATACATATGAAAGGTCTACACTACAAATAAAATCAAAAGTGCTCACCTCTTGCGTTGATGTCGAGCTCCCAGACGGCATGTGCTTGAATTAGCATCATCTCTCTCTTTTGGTGGGGAATAGTTCTAAATTCTTTTTAAATATATTCGAATTAGAATGGTATAGCAATTTTGACCGTAGTTTTTAAGACAATTTTAAGAAAAATATGTAAATAATCTAATTAAGAAAATTTAAATTATATGTATTTATATAAGACATTATTGTGTAAATATATGATATAAAATAAATACTTGTAGTATAAGGAGAAAAGAAATATAATTTGGATATATGTATAGGAATCTCTATAAAAATTTAAAAAATTTTAAAGTTAATATTTATTATTTTTAAGCTAAACATGTACAATAATATCGATATATACAAAATAAAAAATGTTATTCATTGTCCAAAAACGATTACTTTTCATATTCCTCAATACAGTTGTAATGCATTCCATATAAACTCAATTATAAGCGTATACAAAAAACACAAAAACAATTTCGCATAATTTGAGTAAATTTAGTTTACAAATTGCTCTAATTAATTTCACTGTGAATGTAAATAACTGAGTCAACGAATATATCATTTAACTTTGCGAGAGTATACAAAGTTCGGTTACTTCCGAACTCAGCTCTTCCTTACTTCTTTAATATGAACTTTCGCTTCGATCCTTGCAAGTTTCAAGAGTATGAAATGTTTGGCTACATCCGAACTCTCCCTTCCTTACTAGTTATTTGTTATAATTTGTATGCAGATACTGCTCATATATTATATATAGTTAAGAGTTGCTTTCGTTTATTAACAATGGAATGTTGAGCTAAAGAAATTCGTAATGCGGTGATTGCTTTATATATGTAAGTGTGGAAAAGGCGCAGGTAAAATTTATGAACTTTTCAAAAACTTAATATTTCATGAATGTTTGTACACCGCACTATTGTTCGTTTGTTTCCAAACGTCTACAGTTGATGACAGAAGCGTTCTCGCGTGGTCCGAACCAGTTCAGCCCGAAAATGCCCAATGTTCGCAAACGCATCGCAGAAATGGCCTTAGAAAACGGAAAATTATGTTCAAATGCATATATCGACCAGATCAATGTTAATACTTATTCGAGATGATCTATGCATGAAACCCTACCATCGATAAAGTGGTCATCTTCTTACAACGTACTGGAAGTAAATTAGGCTAAACAGAATCAAGCGTAGCATGAAAGTATCCTTATTACAGATGAAAAATGTTCTTTGTTGGAGAAGTTTTTAATAAACAAAACAACAAAATCTACGCAAAAAATGGTATTCCAAGTGTTTAACGGGGTCACCATCCAGTTGCTGTAATGGTTAGGTGTAGAGACTCCTGTAAAGGCGTTACACTTCTAAAATTCTGTGAAAAAGAGATTGAAACTGGTATGGTAAAGCAGTTAAGCAATGCTCTCTTCAATGATCTTCCAGCATTCTGCTCCAGCACACAAGGCAAAAACCACCCCGCAGTGGCATAAAAGCATAGTTTCCTGGCTTCATAGTTACCGAAGATTAGCCGTCTGCAAGTCCAGATTTTAGATTATTAGAGTAAAGTTTCTGGTTAAAATTGGATTACATGGCCTGTCGAATATTTCACAGAAATTTTTCAAGACTCCATACCAATAGAAACTGTGCGTGCTGCTTTTGATCAATAGCCGAATCGTTTGAGGGCTTGTGTGAAACCAAAAGGGGACCATTTCAAACTAATTTTTGTACATCGCATTTAATGTATGCATTATTAAATAAAATTAGCTTTATTATAAAATGTATCATATTGAGTCTAAACCGGGCTTGGAGAATTCGCCTCCCTGTGCTAAAAGACTCCATCCAATCTCCACCTCAAGAAGGTGTAACACATGCAAAGTCGTTGTAACATTACAAAAAAAAACATTATCATTTTAGCGTATGCCAGTTTTTGACGTGTTCCAGCCTGCACATCACACTCTGCTGCAGGAGTCTGCCCGCTCAACCACTATTGATGAAGTTGCCAAACAAAACATCGGAGAGACAAATGCAGCAGATCGCAGGATCACAATAGTACCGGCATGACCAAGATCGAGGAAATAGTTGAATTAAGGAGCCTGGAAGGCATGTGGGATGTAGCTAGCAGTTATACCCTCTGCACAATGCTTGACGAAGCGCCCACCAGAATTAATGGATATTATAAAAGATCGCCTTGATGTAACCATCGCTGGTGATGATTTGATAAATATCATAACTTGGCTACTTATACTAATCGATCTCTCCTCGAATCAGGCGATATATGCATGATCCACCTCTATTAAGAAACTCCCAGCCTTTATTTATGTGGACTTCGTTAACCTTAACAAAGCTAACTGTTTTCGCAACATTTTACCGATCAAAAATTTGCAGCCGACCGACTTCAGACAGGCACTAATCACAATCCACTGCGGAGCCACCTTCATGGCCTCCCTTCAGATGGATATCATCCTTGGAGTCAAACTACCACATAGAGCAAGACCTCGAGTTGTCTAGAATAACCCTCGCACAACTTAGTTCTAGATATTGCAGTAGGCTAAACTTCTACTTAACTACCCCTATGAATGCCTACAAATCTAACACCCTAGTTGCACTTTCCCGGTCATACCTGTGTCAATGGAACAATGTATGTTCTACATGCTAGACAGGCGTGTCTCCATAAACATTACATATATTTTCAACATTTCAAATAGACTTTCCTGTTAGGTTTGAGTTTGGATTTTTAACCCGCGATGTGGGCAGTATGTCCAGAGATCATTCATATCATAAGAATTTATTCCAAGGTTTTTCCCTAATTTGAACACTGTGTAAAATGTAAGTATGAGTCCTCTTCTATAATATTTTGCTTTGAGTCCCGAGGTGTTAAGCATTTATACATAGTATATTTTTGGGACCTCACAGATGTATATATGAGTCAGATCGATTAAATTAAAGATGTTATTTATAAATCTATATTCAATATTTCTTTATTGTAAAGACTAAGAACTAAGCTCACTGGTAACTTAGGGTTAGAAGTAATTGACAAACACCTTAGAGATTAAGTTTCACTTTTTTATTAATTAAATTGTTCCATCATTTTTTAACAAATTAATAAATTATCAATGTTAGTGTTACACTGAAGTTTATATTAAAATTAGTGTAGTCGTTGCTATTAAAATATAATAACTTTTTCGACTTACATATGCAAATATGCATATCCTAGAATATATTTAATTACAATTTTGTAACTTCTCAGTATAACCTAATAATTGTATTTAAGCTATTTGCCTGACTTCGGTTAGGAAGCTTTAGTTTCGTCGCGGTCACTCATACGAACTTATTTACATATGTGTGTATGCATAAAACAAATATATATACATACGTACATATGTATGTACACATACACAGTTTAAATTCAAGTCTTTAGTTTTACTATTTTATTGTTATATGGTTATTCAGTTGTATGATATTATTTTGATTTTAACTTTAATTTTAATTCACGAATATTTATGTAACTATGCTCTTGGAGGATTCTGCGCGGCCTTTCTTTCATTACGCGCCTTCTCCCAGTTAGCAATGTATGTTAACGGGTAGCACAGGAACGCCGAAACTAATATCAGTCCGCCAGCGAAATAGAACGAAGTATTGTAGTCCTGTGTCAGTTCAAAGAGTATGCCTGGAATTGTAAGAATGTTGATAAATTAATTAATGGTGTGTTTGAACCTGTGAATTTAAATCAATATACATATATATATATATATATATATATATATATACATATATATATATATATACATATAAATAATACTACTTGTATATAAATAGATTTTTTGATTTCTGCCTTGTTGAATTCCAACAAACCCCAATAAGTACTCACATACGTACATACATTAAATACATATGTACGTGCTGTACTTCTTCAAGTTCTCTGGTTTAACAGCCCTTTAAAATAAAAAAGATTTTTATACGATACTCTTGCAGCATGTTGCTACAGAGTACAATAGTTTTATTCACTTAACGGTTGTTTGTACCACCTAAAGCTAATCGAGATAAATATGGAGTTATGTACGTAACATATATACATATAAATGATTACGATGACGAAATGAGTTGACTGGGAGACTGTCTGTCCGTCCGCCCATGCAAGCGATAGCATGAGTAAAAATTTATACATCTTGATAAAACTTGGTACGCATGTTCCTTGGCACCCAAGGAGTTTTAGTCTACCTTTTTTCTATATGGGTGTTCGTGTTTCCTGAACCATTGAAGCTATAATAACCAAATTTGCTCAGGGCAAATCCCAAACAACGGTTTTGTTAGAAACTACATAAAATGTGCCAGAGACATACAATTTTACACTCGAGATGGTACGGAAGGGCTTTATAGGAGCTGGTGTTAAATTTAGACGATGAACCTTGCACCGCCCACATTTAGGTGAAAACATAACTCGGGACCAACTCGACTGTTTCAAACAAATTTGGTAGGTAATATTACTTTACATTCTCCCTTCACGGTGCGAAAATGGGTGAAATCAGACAAAAACCACGCCTACTCCCCTTTAACACTATTTAAATTCCATTAAAATCAAATTTGTATCATATTAATTTATATTTTAGTAAACTCACATATTTGCTGATATATGCGGTATAAAGTCGGAAGTTAGAAAATCTCTCTATCAGGTATATAGGGCTAAGAAAAGTATCAGAGAAGAGTGATCCAATTCAACCAATTTTTGACATACAGCCATACTATTATCAGACAAAGATTCTCTCCGACTTGCTATAACATATCTCACAGATTAACCGATATTTTCATTATAAAGTCAACCGACGCGAGATAGCATTTCTTGAAGACACGATTTGTGCAAAATTTTATGCCGATATACTCATTGGTGCTTGAATTTATACAAATCATATACCAACCGTCTCCCGGCCACGCCCACAAAACGCCATTAATCAAAAACAAATAAATTGCCACAACTAAGCTCCGCAATAAGATACAAGACTGTTATTTGGTACACAGGATCACATTAGGGAGGGACATCTGCAGTTAATTTTTTTTTTTAAGTGGGCGTGGTCCCGCTCCTAATAGGTTAAAGGTGCATATCTTTTAACCCGCTAAAGCTATAATAACAAAATTCACTGGAAGCAAATGTTTTTAGAACATCTACCTACAGTGTGAAAATAGTTGAAATCGGGTGGCAACTCCGCCCACTCCCCATATAACGGTACTGTTAAAAACTATTAAAAGCGCGATAAATCAAGCACTAAACACGCCAGAGACATTAAATTTTATCTCTGGGATGAATACAACCAAAATGTTACGATGCACAAACACTTATCATACAGTGTAAAAGCTTTCGGTATCATCAAACTTCACATTTTCACCGTTGATAAGGGATCGTCACGTCCACAGCTTCTGAGTTTCTTCAGCTGGTTCTGGCTTCTGGTTATCTTTATCAACAAACTCTGAAAAATCATAGTGACAATTTATGGTATACACACTTTACCTGGAGTAGCTAGCGTGAATTAAGGCTGAGATCGGGTCACACATTCCCCATGACTTATTTTTATTATAAACCCCAAAAATGATCACTACCGGTTCTTATTTATTTACATAAATAGCACTTACTTCCTTGTTAGATGATTGCTACAAGTTCCCCTCCCACCTATGATTCGCGCCTTGATGTTATCCTTCTGATTTTATAACTATAAAATACGTTAGTAACATACGTTGATCGTTTTCTGTCGAGGGACAAAGCTCTTAGAAAACACTTTATGGTGTTGGTCGGCCCCAAGACTTGCCTGGAATATTTAGAGGTTATATATATTTGAGTACACTGTGCCTAAAAATATGTGTTATAATGCTCTTAGTTGCCTCATTATGTTGTTTTATAAAGTTTGGAGCACATGTCGAGATATTCCAAACCATATTTGTTCCCATAAATGGTGAGGGTATCTAATGTTCTGTTAGAAACACTACGAGCTATGTTGTACTCGGGTAAAAAAATTGTGTATACACAATCATACGAAAGAAGTTCTTAGTTATAAAGACACTAATACATTAGGACCAATAGATATACACATGTGCATCTTTACATAGTTGGATTTCGAATAATTCCATTGTATCGAATTTTAATAATTTATTCCACTGATTGTGATTGGTATGCAGACTTCAAAAGTGGCTAAAATAACACACAAAAATTTGTTGATTTATAACTCACTGCCGGTAACGATTATATGCTGAGTACGTTATCAAAATTATTTATGGTTAACATAAATCACAATCGTGTTATTCTAATACATATATAAATGAAATCAATTGCAACCACCAAAACTAATTTCACTCAGCAACACAATCTCATTTGTTTGTTTTGTTGGCAGAAAGCAGTAAATATCAACTGAAATCTAACTCAATTCGATTACGACTACTTAATTATCTATTGGCCATAGTAAAAAAAAAAATCAAAAACGAAATCAAAGAGCTATAAAAGAAGCTATCACTTTAAAACTAAACTTGTTCGTTAACATGTAAAACGTTTGCATAAATCAGTAAGGAAGAGCTAAGTTCGGGTGTAACCGAATATTTCATACCCCCGCAAGGATCAAACCCGGTGAAACACTTTATGATTACAATCATATTTGGTATCTAATGAACTTATATTATGGGTAACTTAGTTTGGCTGCTATATAATATTTTGCCATATTTCGTCCGAGTTATTTATATTATATTTACATCAACCTAATTAACTTAAATGGGATATACAGATGGGATACAAACTCAACTAAAGAGGATAAATTTAATATATTAGGTATACTTGTACTCGTATATGGAAAACGTCAGCCTGAGAACCGGAAATCATTATATTAGCAATATGAGGTTTAAACCAAGGTCTAGAGTCTAGACTTAATTTCAATTCATATTCAGCGCTAAGCCACTTTTGATCTCACAAATTGACCAGCATAAGAGGATCAAAGTCAGGTGGAAATGGTGTATGGGAGCATTTTAGGCATCTTAATATATGGAGGATATGGGTAATATTGAAAAGATTTCATCCATTTTTGCCATTACGAAATATCATTGCCAAAATTAGCAATATTTAATGTATAAAGTCAAGTGGATGTTAAAAATCTTTATATTAGATATATGAAGGCTAGGGGAAGTATTTAATATAATGCTGTCATGAAAAGATTATCTCCGAATTTCTGTAATAGATCTCCCAGATTGACCGATATTTTCGATAAAAAGTCAGTTATAGGCACTGGGTCCAACATATTCGGTTTCTGTGGGCTTGATAACTTATAGTCCGTTTCGACTATTAATTCACGTGAGATATACCTAAAAGACACTATTTGTAATATACTTTAATTCGGTGACAGTTATACACTGTCTCTCTCTCTCAATTTATACACTATAAAGTATAAGAATCAGACGGAATTTAAAATTGTGATATATGTTAGGAATGAGAAGTATTCGTTCAATTTTGCTTAATTTCATAGTGTAACATAAGAGTGTCGGAATACTGTTACGAATAAAATTGGGTTGATATTAGTCAAATAGTTCCTGAGAATTAAAATTTAATTTAAAAGTGGGTGGTGCCGCGACCACTGTTTTACAACGGGTGCTGCGCAACCTACCATCGTAACATCTCGGGGGTGAAATTTATTGTTTCTGAGGTATTTACTTAATAAGTTATTACATTTTAACACAACTCCCATTTTCATACTGTTTGAGGAGATGGTACAAAGCGTTTTTGCAGTAAGTTTTGTAATATGAGTTTAGTAGTTCCTGAGATAAGTTACATTAAATTTGTTAGAGGGCGGGCCATGCCCACTTTTAAAAACGTTTGAATCCTACTACAATTCTATGTACTAAATTAGAGATTTGTATTTTAATTGATGGCTTAGTTATAGCGTTATATAGGTTTTTGTGACAATGGACCGATTCCGATTATCTGAAAAATACTAGTTAAAGCTTGCACAGACTGACGGACAGACGGACGGAGGGACATACAGGCAATCAAAATTCAACTCGTCTCGTCATCTTGATCATTTATATATATATACATATACCATATATGTACATATGTATATAACTCTATATCCATCTCGATTCAGTTTAGGTTTTTAAAAGAATCGTTAGGTGAACAAAACTATTATACTCTGTAGCAATATGTTACGAGTATACTCTTAAAAACAATTAATTGTTCGTTAATCTTCGTACTTATCAAATATGTTGGTTTTTTCACTCAGTTTTTTCGTCTTGCAATACTACAAATAATAATCCTATCAAGTATTAGCCAAATAAAAATTAACATATGTCTTCAGAATATGTTTTATGTACCTGCAATAGGAGCTCCAACTGTCGCCGCAATGCCCTGAAACAGCATAAGGAATCCAAATGCATTCGTTAATTTCTCCAATCCAATCATTTCCACAGCTATTAGGGAACGCAACGCCGAAAAGCAAGCAATACAAACGCCAAAGAAGATAGCGAATGCCCATTGAGTTACAACCGTTATTTTAACACCACTGAAAATTGTCGCCAGACCACCCGCTGTGATTGCTACATTGTTTAACCATAGTGGTTTCACACTGGGAATTGAACTGACCGTACCGCAAACTAACCTAGCAATTGTATTAACCAATCCTATGCCAGAAACAACGCTAAGTGCAGTACTTTTGTCCATTCCTGCCGATTCGGCACGTGGTGTCAAAAACATAAAAGGCACAAAGAAACCCATCATGGTCAGAAAACCGCTGAAGGCCAGACACATGAAGGATGGCGACTTAAGCAACGAAGTGTCCAACATCGTCGATAAAGTACGCCGCACAGCTTCAGGACAAAGTCGACAACCCTTTTGTCGATCTTCAAGCATATCCTGTTTGGTTGGAAGACGTGTCACCGACATATGATAGGCGAGGGAAGTCTGTGATTGATATTGTGGAATTCGTGCTAAGGAACCAGTGAAGAAAATGTCATCGCGGTACATAGGTCTAGTGTGAATATTGTGAACAGTATCTTGCGATCCAACTGCACTCTTTTTCCCAACAATGTCGTTTGGCCTTCTGCCAGACACTGTGTGTCTACGTGCCTGTATTACCACTGGTTTTGCTTCAGTTTCGATCAAATTCTCATTCTCGGTTTCTTCTTCATTTTCTCCAACTGTTGTTAATTCTTTGTTAATATTGAAGTGAAGCTGAGAGGGTTGAGGCTCTCCATTCGGAGTGGTAGGCTGCGATTTTCGCAGAGCTTTCAATTCTGTGCCTTTGCCGGAAGAGTTTGAGAGGCGACGCTCAATATTTGCACCTCTAAAGACTTCTGCAGCTGTGGGGTAATGATGCTTGGGAGATGCCCCCATATAAGTATTATGTGCTGAATTTGGCATTGAATAAGCGAAACGTCCTTCAGGAAGCGGTTTAGTAAAGGCAGCTTGATGAAGTTGGGGCTTTGGTGCAACAATATTGCCATGTCCATTGCGTTTTTCATTGTCATGCTTGTTTTCGTTAGAGTCTTCATCCACAGCCAGTGTGATGGGCTGAATTGGTCTAAATGCGCATGCGAAGAAAGCACAAAACGCAATTATTATTCCTTGAATTGCAAGTGTGTATCTCCATCCCGATTTTAGCAATATATCAGTCAATGGAGTGAATACAATAGTGCCCACGCCAGAACCACACATAGCAATACCGGTTGCTAGAGCACGCCACTTTTCAAAATAAAAGCCAATAATTACAACGGCTGGTATATAGACCATGGAAAAACCAATACCAGCGAGAATCCCATATGTAATAAATAAGAACTCAATGCTTACAGCAAAATAGGATATACCAAAGCAGGTTGCTGCAAACAGCGCTCCAGCTATTGCTACGGGGCGGAAACCGAATCGATTTGCCAAGGCACTTACAAAAGGTCCTGCCATTAAATAACAACCGCTAAGGAGTGAAGACACTAATGCCGCATAACCTTTTTTGACATTAAATTCTTTGATTAAGTCTTCTTGAATTAAACCAGAACAAAAAACAATTCCGTCGAGTACCGTACAACATAAAAATGATGCCACCATCACAACCCATGCCCATCCGCTATCCGGTGGAACGACTACAGCTGCTGTTGATTCGTCGATTTCGTAATCTTCATCATTACCATTTAGGGGCTCAGCTACGGCTTTGGCCTCCTCATGGGCTCTGGTGCTCTGCATTGCCATTTATTCTAAAAATAGAGTATAAAAGTCAAAAATTAGTAACTAATTATAATAAAAATAAAATTTTGTATGAAATACTGGTAATATTTATAATCACCAAGTAAGATTAGAGATTGTATTCAGACACTCACATTGTGTATTTGATGTCAAAACGAATGTACATGAACCCATTTTAGGTAAAATAATTTGATTGTGGTATATATCTACATACTGGTACTAGTATATATTTCAACTCGTTTGCACACTTTAAGATTGCAGAAACCGCCTACTTCTCTGCATTTAAAGTTTTATGGACTTTCTTTATCCATTTACCATATAATGAGAATCATTCTCCGGTTCCGCTAAATTCCCCATTATAGCTTAAAAATGCTAAACGCAATGTTGGTTGACAAGGTTCCAGAAATGTATGAAATATATACATATGTATATAAAACAAGTAAGGAATTGTTAAGTTCGGCTGTAACCGAACATTTCATACTCTTGCAACTTTCAAGGATCAAATTACTACTTGTGTTGCCAAATTTTATATTAAAGAAAGTATTGATCCGATTCAACCCATTTTTGACACAAAAACATACTATTATCAAGAGTCTCATTTATTTATTTTATTATATGAATTTAAGTTATACATCTTACACATTGACCGATATTTTCGGTAAAAAGTCAACTATAGGCACTGGAGTCCACATATTCATTGACCTTGGAAAGTGAAAGAATCAGATGACATTTAAAATGTTGTTATATCAGAAATAGGCGTGGTTGTAATTTGATTTCGCCCATTTTTACACTATAACATAGAAATATGATAGGAATGTTATGTACCGAATTTCGTTGAAATCGGTTATGCAGGTCCGATTACGCCCATCTGCGATACCAACCGTCTTTCTTTACCAAGAAACATGTGTACTAAGTTTCATAAAGATATCTCAATTTTTACTCAAGTTACAGCTTACACAGACGGACGGTCTCTTGATTATTTATATACTTGTATAATATTATATATATAACCCTATGTCTAACTCGATTAGTTTTAGGTGATACAAACAACCGTTAGGTGAATAAAACTATTATACTCTGTAGCAACATGTTGCGACATATATCTGACATAAACTTAACCGAAAAGGCTACATGTATTATATTGAGGTGATGAAATTAAGGATATGAGATTAAGAGCCAGGTCTAGACTAACTCTAAAGTTGTTCAGCGGCTTGTTAGAATAAGGGAAATTATTATATGTATAATATAATTTCACATATTTTCACTAAAGTAATGTTAATCGAAATATATACATAAGATATAATACATATTGACGGATACATACGGTATACGGATATTTTAAAATATTTTAATAGGTGTATGGGAGATTAACACGATAGTTATGGTTCGATTTCGACAATTTTTAAACCTGAGATGACCATATAGGTAGTATTCATGCGAGGTTTTATCCCAGTAATTGGTGTTTGATTTGTATACTGCAAAATGAAAATATCAGATGGAATTTAAAATTGTGTTGTACGGGAAGTAAGCGTGGTTGTAGTCCGATTTCGCCAGTTTTCGCACTGCAACATGAGAACCGAATTTGGTTGAAATCGTTCTAGTAGGTGCGGAGATATGTAATTCCACTCAAAAGTGGGCGGTGTCCAAATTTGACACCGACTCCTAAAAAGCCCTCTCATATCACCTCTGGTGTAAAATTTTATGTCTCTGGAGCTTTTAGTTATAAATTTATCGCACTTTTTGTAGCTTTTAACAAAACTATTATATGGGCAGTAGGCGTGGTTATAATCCGATTTCACCTTATTTAACGCTGGCGAAAAACAGTCGAAAGTCCTGTACAAATTTGGGTTATATATCTTGAATGGTTTGGGAAATATATACATTAAACATATTAGAGAGCGGGGTCACGCAACAATTTTTCAACCACAGGTGCCCCTATTATTACGATTCGTTGTACAAAATTACAGGTTTATATCTTAATTTGTGGCTTGGTTAAGGCAATGGTTATTGCAAGTGAACAAGCTTTCTGCCGATATGTAATCGCAAAACGGATATACATACATACATCCGGAAATCAAAGTATCTAGTCATCGTTATCATTTTGTTATATATAAAACTATATTTAACACGATTGAATTTTGGCGTTGGCGTTACAAACCACCGTTAGGTAAACAAAACTCACCATATACTTTAATGTTCAATATATTGTGAGAGTATTAATTGAATTAACCTCAATTTGAACTGTACCATTTATCAATATATTATATATTTACATACGTTTAAATTTTAATATTGTCGCTTAAATTTTTAATATTTGTCGGTTACCATGTAAAGTTTGTTCTGTTGTTCTATAGCAATATCATGTACAAATATTTTGAAAGCCCTTCTTTCTGTTCGCAAAGATCATGAGCGGTTGTGCCTATTTTATTGGAATTTTAGAGGGAAATCTAGGAGGGCCTCACAATGTTTCGAAATAATATTCTTTTGTTGCTAACATGGCCCTAAAATAATATTTACTCGACTGTTTGTGTATTTGATTCCTAATGACCTAAAAGGGCATTATGCCACCAAACCAAGTAAAAACCATAAAATATTAATAAAAACAAGAAAACACTCTAACTTCGGCTGCACCTAAGCTATTATGACTTTCACAGATCTTTTATGAAGATATTTATCTTGATTTTGATAAGTCACTTTGAATGGCAGCTAGAAATAATGTCAAATTTTCTGACGATATTTGTAAAATAAAAAAAAAAAATTCCTTACAAGGACTTAATTTTGATCGATCAACTTGTTTGACAGCAACAGTGATCTATTATCGGCGGTTTCAACAAATGAGCAACTACCTGGGGAGAAAAGTACGTATGTATTTTTAGGCCGATATCTCAAAAACTGAGGGACTAGTAGGCGTATATACAGGTTAAATCCACTCAGCTTGTTACGCTGAACATTTATGTACGTATATAAAAGAAGTAAGGAAGGGGTAACCGTCGAACATTTTATACTCTTGCAACTTGCAATGATCAAAGTCGGATAAATACTTTCAGGTGTTGGGAAAAAAAAACTTTATATTTAATATTTCGAAAGAGTTTAACATTCATTTTTGGACGAAATCGTGAATGGACTACAATTTTTTATTATTTACAATATTTTATTTTATCCATTTTAAGCACAAAGATACATTATTATTAGAGAAACAATGAATTTTTTATTTAAAAAAAATGATAACTCACATATTGTCCGATATATGCGGTAAAAAGCGGGCTTGAATAGTTTTATTTCGATTTGGACAATTTTTGGTCACAAGACAATCCAATAGTAATTGTTAATAAAAGTAAAAGTAGAAGTCCGTGGTCTTCGAAAGAGTTACATACATTGAAAAACAGAAAAACTCGAGCCTTTAAACATTTTAAAAAAACCGGTTCACTTGTCGACTATTCCAAATATTCTGTATTGCGTCGACAATATTTTGACTTAAACAAAAAGTGTTATAATAATTACTTAAATAAAGTAAAAAATAATGTTGTAAGTAATCCAAAATCGTTTTATGATTTCGTCAACTCAAAACGCAGGATTTCCAAATTTCCGTCCGCGATGAAATACAAATCTATCATTTCAACTGACAATGTTATTATATCCAATAATTCTTCCAAAACTTTTTCTTATCAGCACGTGCTGTGTTCGAATACTTTAATTAACGCTACAATTATTTCTGAAGAAGACGTCCTACTTAAATTAAATAAGTTAAAACCATCTTTTAGTTACGGCCCAGACATGATACCCTCATGCTTCCTAAAAAATAGTGCCAAATATATATATTTACTTGCCTTTGACAAAGATATTTAATTCCTCTCTTAAACACGGTATATTTCCTTCAATATGGAAACAGTCATTTATAATTCCTTTGCATAAAAGTGTCAGTCAGTCATACCTAAACTTTTTGAAGCTATCATCACTGACCATATAACCTTTTCGATTTCTCCGTTGATTTCCTTATCTCAGCATGGATTTCGTAAAGGAAAATCTACTCTAACAAACTTGCTTGAATTTGTAAACCATGTATCATTGGGTTTTAGGGAACATAAGCATACGGATGTTATATACACAGACTTTAGCAAAGCTTTCGATAAAGTAAACCTCTCGATTCTCATACATAAACTTGATCTACTGGGCATTCAGCCAAGATTTCTTCAATGGGTAGCTTCCTATCTTTATAATAGAACACAACGAGTGATATTTGAGGATACACCTTCAGATACAATTAATGTTTCTTCAGGTGTTCCGCAAGGTAGTCATCTTGGCCCGATTCTGTTCTTGTTGTTTATTGACGATATCCTTTCAGTAATTAAATTCTCAAAAAATGTATTATACGCTGACGGCGTAAAGCTTTTTAAATCATACACTTCAACTGAGGAAAGGTGTCTGTTGCAAACAGACTTAAACAATATGGTTGCATGGTGTGATAGAAATGATTTGCCATTGAATCTGAATAAATGTAAGACGATGTGCTTTTCCCGTAGATCTGTGCACCCCTCTTTTTATGTAATAAAACATCATATTCTGGACATCATATTCTGGACCCTAAGCTTAATTTTTGTCTTCATATTGACACCACGGTCTTGGAAGCAAAAGCTGTCCTCAGTTTTGTTAAACGTTGGTCTAAAGAATTTAGAGTTCCGTATATTACTAAAACACTTTATACAACTTTGGTTAGACCTATATTGGAATATAGCTCTGTTGTATGGAACCCTAACTACCAAATCCATTCTGACAAGTTAGAGTCTGTTCAAAAACAATTTTTACTTTTCGCCTTAGCGCATTTCTAGGGTAAGTCTACCTCCATACACTAGTCGTTTAAAACTTATTAATCTACCTACACTTTCTAGTCGTAGGGAAATGCTTGGCATAATATTCTTAGTGAAAATCTTGAATGGAACAGTTTGCAGTTCTTTTCTCCTGTCTGAAATTAAATTTAATATCTTGATTCACTTTTCGAGGCAATTTAGACCTT